TGAGGAAGTGGGGCGCACCTAGATCGCTCGCCACCTGCGCGTCGTTGGGCATGGTCCAACCTACGCGGCAGAGAGAAGAGGTACATGGCGCCGATCGCCACGCGAACTTGCCGCCATGAAGACGGCGGTCTGGCCCTTGTCTGCTCCCAGGCATCTCTAAGTACTGCGAAACCTAATGCGAATGGAGTATGCTGAACCTGGGCGTCCCACAGCTCCCTGGAGTATCTGGCAATCGGCGAAATGGCAGCATGATAAACAAGGTCCCCTTCCAGGATACAAAGGGACGTAAGAGGGCCTGGATCCCGCGGGCGGTCTGACAGATTTCCCGAACCCAGATCGAAGCAGACCCAACTCATAATCAGATGTACCATAGACTTCGGAGCCGTAGCTCACAGATGCCAGCGGCCCTGAAACAGAAATCTTGCGGGTATGACGGCCGAGAGCTTGACGAGCTTTACGAACGCGCTTACACCGAATCCGAAAATGTTGCATTCTGCTCTTGGCCTTATTACCACGACCTCCTGTGCGACGAGCCTGTCCAGCGCCGTCGTCTACTCCGGGGTTGACTGAGGTCCTCGCGTTGGATGAGGGGCCGCCGCGCTGCCCAAGGAACTGGCTGATGACCTGTCCAACATCCGCATGAGACGAAACAACCGCAGCCTTGTCCGCGGAAGCAGTGACCTCCACGTCGGTCCCCAGAGCCATCGAGAGGTCAACCGAGGCCTTCTTAAGAGAGGGAACCACAGATTTAGACGTCCCAGAGCTCGAGAGCCCGTAATCGGCCATGTAGATGTCAAGGGAGACCTGCTGGGGGGACCTGATGGGGTCAACAGTAGGAACAACATAAAACCGCACATGGGCAGTAGCCATACTGCATCCAGCCACAACCCCGCGCGTGACAAAATGTTGCCCGTACAGGAGGCCCCCAAGGGAAACAAATCGAGCTCCTCGATATGCTCTCATTGATACCCTGGCAATCTGCACCGGGACATCCAAGGCCTGGCACCGATCTAGTTCCTGGGGAAGCCGAATCGTCACGTAAGATGTTGTCGAATCCCTTGGGATCTTGCAACAACTATGCCCACGACCGACGACGTGCTCGCTCTTGACCCCCTGGCGACGCACGACATCCGAGGCAGAGTTGAACGACCCAGAAGCGAAGTACAATCTCTGATGATGGGCGTCCCAATGCTCTGCGCATGGCCGTCGGGCGCGCGCCCGAAGCCTGTGTGAAGACGAGAAAAGCCCGATGGGGGGGGCACCCGCCCGCTGGTTTCGGCAGCAGCGCGGCCATCGGCACCTAGGCAGGGCGCGGTCGGAGGCCCGCGGCTTCCATCATACATAAGGTGATGACTGCATCCAACAAGTCGGTATGCATAAGAGAATAGTGCCGCGTGTGAATACCGCCCACGCTGGTGGCCGTGCCTACTGCATAAGTCATGCTCGCAGCCATCAAATGGTCTGTGGAAAGCGGCTCCAATGGCCCCATAAAAACCATGGGCCCATAATCGCCAACATGAGGGTGCGGCTTGGAATCCCAGACGGCCCCAAACTGCCACCCCTCCGACCGCAGGAGGGGCGCAGGGCCCGACAGAAGAAGCCCGTCGGCGGACAGCGTGGTAGTCGCCACCCAAGGTTTCAACTCACGAGTCCAACGGCGGGCGGTTGGTTTGCCCCTTTTGCCAACTCCATCCAGGAGCCAGCTACGCGACTCCTTCAAAGACTGCTGCGAAGAAGACTTTGCATACTCTGCCACTCTGGGTTCTGAAAAAGCTTGAAATTCACGGAAACCTGACGCACCAGGGGAAACAACTTGAACAGCCTCTAGAAGACCACGTCCTTGCTGACAAAAGATCTTGGAAGTCACCCCAAGCCCGCCGAGAACGCGCGGGAGGACCCGCGAACTGCATCCGAAAAGCGCCCAACAGCCACGGCATCTCCTGCATCAGCAGCACCCACGATAAAACTCGAGGTCCTCGACGACCGCCGACCAGATACCAGTCCAGGACCCCGAACAGGAGGTCGGGTGTCTTTGTCCAGAACAGAAGCGCAGGCCAACCGAGGCCTCCGTCCACGGGGCCCCCAAATAACCAAATATGTCTGACAAATTCTGGAAAGCTCCCACTCGGCCGCGTCGGCCCATGCTCGGTACAGCACGTCAAGATGCCTCTGGACCTGGGACCTTGTAGCTCGACGTCTATCAACTCGCGCCCCACTCGGGCGCAATCCAAGACTGCGGCGCGGCCCCCCGAGCACTGCGCTGGCCCGACGGGGCGCTCGGATGGCAGCTTGGGCGGACGGAGGAAAGTGAGGGCCTTGAGCGCGGCCAACTCCAGGCAAAAGAAGATGCGCGCGGGCGCGTGCGTCTTGACGTCGCTGCCCGGGGCCGCTGGAACCTCCTGGATGCACCGACTGAAGCCTGATGATATCATAAAGTAGTCGAGAGCCCTGAAGCCCCCAGTACTGGTACAAGTGCCGATATCATGATAAATTGCGTTAG